CAAGAGAAAAAAAATGATATAATCAATTTAATTTCTACACTACCTTAAAGAAAATTTAAGAAGGAAACCGATATCAATAATAAAAATAAGGATAACAGTGGACCGGAGAAAGAGTTACCTTATCTGTTCGTCTTAAAGGGAAACAGTGAGTATCACTATTACTATTAAAACTTTTGTTTTCTATTTCTTTCCAAACATATTTTTCTGTTAACGATTCCCGGATCTTAGACTCAATAGCAATAATTTTAATGTAGTTTTAAACAGCATTCTTAACTTTATATCTATATTTCTTCTTCTTCTTCTTCTTCTTCTTCTTCTTCTTCTTCTTCTTCTTTATATGATGTCCCTTCAGGACGTTGGCGATCATAGCCCTCCACAATTTCCAGACCTTTGCACCTCTTACGCTCTGTTTTGCCATCGATTTACTCAAGCTCGCTAGGTAGCTTATGCGTTCTTTTCCTCTCTACCTCTTGCCTTCAGTCTTTCCTGTGAGTATCATATTTTCCTAGACCTCTTTTTCTATTACGTGCCCTAAAAAATTCAAATATCTCTTTCTGTGGTTATGCATGAGTCAACTTTACATTTCCGTATTTCGTTCATTTATGTTTAAAGGACGAAAAAAAAAAAAAAAAAAATATGATTTAACCCCCTTTCTGTAAACTTACTAACGTAAATATTGCCTGATATTTTCTGAATTTAATCGATAAGCATTTTAATCACAACACCCCACTACAAAAGAATTTTAATAGAAAAAAACTTTTAAATTAGTTATTCCTGTACAAAAAAATAAAAAAATTATTGACTCACGTAACAATAAAATGTAAAATTATTTTATGACAGCAACATACCAGCACTCGTGCAATTGTAGAACCAAAGCCAACTGTCCAGTTGGAAACATTTCTAATTCACGAAATATTGTATGCCAAGCTACCATCTTTCCAAAAGAAAATATTAATAATAAAAAAGTATACATCGGTATTCCTGAGCTTCCTGAGCTGGAAAACAGAGCTTCTACAATCATAGGCATTCCTTCTCTAATACTTAAAGATAGAAAGTTCACCCCACAGATTGAATGGGATATCATCTGACAATCACAAGATCCCAACAACTTCCGGAATAGTTGCAATCTATACCTACAGGAAAGAATCCTAATAATTAAAAGCAAAAATGCAGGCCAACTGTTGAACCAAAGAAATAAAATTATTTTCAAGTGTCGACATGAAATAGATTTTAATTAACCTAAAAACATTTACTTTGCGGGTAACGCACTTACGAATTGGGTTTTCCATTGCATATGTGTACAAATATATATATGTGTATATGTGTTCGTATGTATGCATGTATGTTTGTGTATATGCATTTGTACGTACTTGTCGCACATGTATGTATGAGACTGTAGAGGAAAATGGCCACAACATATATATAATTGATAATTTTTACCAGTATTTTCTAGTATTATTCTAGTTATTATTTTTTTTAATTTTTATGATATATATATATATATATATATATATATATATGTGTGTGTGTGTGTGTGTGTGTGTGTGTGTGTGTGTGTGTGTGTGTGTTTATATACATATAATATAATTTTTGAATATTTTGTTTAATTTCTTCTTATCATTTTCTTCATGATCATTTTATTATTATTATCATTATTGGTTATTATTTTTGTTATATGTATAGATTAATATGTATATATTTATGCTTTGTTATATGTGTGTGTATGTATGTGTAAATATATGCATCTCTGTGTACATGTAAATATATATATATATATATATATATATATATATATTTTGTGTATGATTAAGGGTACGTTCTTATTCATATATATATATATATATATATATATATATATATATATATATATTGTGTGTGTATTTTATCTTTTATTTTTATGTTTATAATAATAGTTTTTTCTCATAAGAATATTATATTTTTATTATTATTAATATCCTATGGTAGATAATGTAGATGATTATATGATGATGATGATGTCTAAATACCCACCATTTAACCCATTCCTCAGAGAACTTTATTTGTTATATTGTTGTAGCTCTGTTTTTAATTTAGCCTTTTTAACTCTTTACCTTCTCTTACCCGTTAAATTAACCCTTTTTTTCTGTTCGCTCTCTCTGCTTTCGTTTTATTTTTTATTTTATTTATTTTGGTATATCTCTATATGGGATATTTTGATTCCATTTCATAAAATGTAGCCAGTCTGATGAGATGAATATGCTTATATTCATTGAAATAAATAAATTACTGACTATGAATTTTTTTGTATTTCTGCAGCAATCCTTCTTTTAAACAAGTTTCATTCTAAACGCCTGACAGGGTACTACGGTTATTTTTTTTTTAAATCGTTTTTTTTTTTCTGAATCTTGTAGTGATACTTTAGTTGTTGGCTGCCGATTCATGTAATTTACTAAATGTGTATTTGGCTAGCAATGCCTTTTTCATACATGCTTCATTTAAAACGACAAAAAGGTACTACGATTTTTTTTATTTAAAACATTTTTTTTGAACGCAGTAGTGTTCCTTTTCTAAAACTTTCATAAAAAAACCTTCTTTTAAATAAATAATACTTAACCGCAGTACATTTTCCGTCGTTTTTAATGAAAATTATATATATGTGTACATGTGTAACACACACACACACATATATATATATATATATATATATATATATATATATATATATATATATATATGTGTGTGTGTGTGTCTGTGTGTGTGTGTGTGTGTGTGTGTGTGTGTATGTGTTATGTTTCATATTATAACTTTTTTTTATTAACCTTCATTTTCTTATATTAATTGTGTATATTTTAATCGCTGTACACAGCCATTTTTATTCTTCGAGCGTGAGGACCGACAACCGTTTATTTTATTATTTTCTCTCTTCCTTTTCCCTTTAACTGCATTAATTCTTTTTTATTTTCTTCTTCTTCTTCTTCTTCTTCTTCTTCTTCTTCTTCTTCTTCTTCTTCTATATGCTGTGTCACTTCAGGCCGTTGGTGATCATGGCCCTCCACAAAATTTACAGCTGTTATCCATTAACGGTTAATTTTTTTTTTATTTAAAACAAGTTTTTTCTGAACGTTTTTTAAAATTGCTTTATTATTTCTTGATTCGCTTTTATCATTTTTATTAACGTAATAATAAATCAAAGTGGTACATACGAACAGTTCACGCCGACATCCAGTGTAAAATATGTATGGTTGTTCCTTGTCATAGTAACATACTTGTCCCTGCGATCCCGAGAGCGAAGTCGTTTAGAGTTCAAACTCCTCGAAGTCAAACCCACGATTGTAAGGTCGAAGAGGAAGGACCAGACGGAACGCGACTGAGCCCCGAAAACCCCTAACGGCGGAATAGGCAATGATCTGTCTCCACGGCCAAACCAGCGGAAGATTTCAGCGCCATTCTGGCTGCCGTAACAAAGACCCAGCATCCGACAGCCCGATTCAACTAGGTTTGTCAGATCACAAGGTTTGCCAAATCCCCTTTGGGCCTCAAGGGAAGCGCTTCTGGGCAAATGTGCTGGCTTCAGCCTCGCGTAGAGTTATCCACCAAAATCAAATTCACGCGAATGGCCTCGTCAAGCTCTCTTTGATCCGAAGCCATATCCGCCGCCATCACCATCACCACCGGGAAGAGAAACAGAATAGGGGGAGAGGATGACGATACCGATGGTCGGATGCGAGGGGATGCCGACAACACTACTGTTTTTATTAGATCTATTAAGTCTTCAGAGGACGGTAAGTGCGACACTGAGATCGGAAAACGTATTGGGATGGCCAAGGACGCATTCCAAAAGCTAGAGTACTGTGAGGCAGGAGGATTGTTATACCAGAACGTTAACTACTCTATTGTAATAGACTCTTCCACAGATGATAAGTAGTAGTAGCAGTAGCCAGTTGAGCTCAGTGGAGTTGAGTGAGTCAGTCGATGTCGGACATTGAAGTATCAACCATCACAACTAGATTGCTGCGTCATTAACTCTTATTTCAAGTTCCTAACGTTTTGTACGTCGGACCCTTTTAGGACCGACTTAGCGAAATACAAGCCTCCACTGTGAAAACTACTCTACAACAAGGATATCTTTGGTAACAAAGAAAAAAATACTGAACTGTTACATGACGTCTTCTTTACAGCAGCGAATGTTGGAGGATTTCCTTAAAGATGAAGAAGTGACACGAGGCAACAGAGAATGTGATTCTATAGAAGGATGATGCTAAAGATAGCATGGACCGAGCGTGTGAGCAACGATGAGATCTTAGAGAGGTTGCGAACAAGGAGGGGGCTTATGCTTAACATCAGGAGTAGGTAGCTGAAGTTTCTGGGAATGAGGAAGAAGGGCCTGGGGAATCTGATACTCACAGGTCGAATAGAGGGAAAGACAGACAAGGGAAACAACGCGTGATATACCTAAAAGACTTAAGCAAGAGTATGATAGAACGTGGTCTGGGGGAGAAAGCAGAGAGAAGGAACTTGTTGAGAGCTGCAAGGGATAGAAAAAGGTGGATGATCGCCTACGTCTCGAAAGAACATGGCACAAAAACGAAGAAAAAAGGCTTCACAGTTTCTTTTCCTATTGCACCTTTGATTTTATAGAATTCAGGAACAGTTATATTGAAATAAGAGGTACCAAAGAATGACGTGAAGACACCTATCACTTTTAATGATCTCATTATGTAAATGAGTACAATAACACAAAACTAATAACTGCAAAGAAGAACCTCTGATAGTGATTGATTTGTTTTTTACGGCTTATCAATCTTTTGCAGATTTTTTTTTTAAATCAGAAATATTGCGTTTTTTTTTAGATTATAATACTTTTTTTTATACATAGCAACGATGTAATAATACAAGTTCTACAACTTAACCCATAGCTGGGTTGAAAAGAGGTGGATTCATATATTTCCGAATATTATTTGCGTGTAATTGAATATAATGAACCCAAGTGAAATTAGAAATCAGTTTTCCGATTCCCAATGTCCAAGCGGTCATTCATCTAATTATTGACCAGGCTCAACGTTGCTTAACTTCCGTGATCGAACGAGAACCAGAGTTTGAACGTGATATGACCGTAAACCTTCTATTTAACACTTACGCTGCTTACTACGAAGATCTTCGTTTTTTCTTATCTTGCTTCAGCTGGCTAAGTACGGAAACCTACGTTTATTTGCATACCGCTGTTATGAGTGTCCCGTTGCGCCATCTATCGTAAAATCACAAAGGACAATGCTTCAAAAGATATCATGTGTATACCCATTACTGATCTGGTAAGTTATTTCCAGGTATATCCATGAAAATGGAAGGCTGTAAAACACACTGGTGCCAGTTTTCTGTGTAATAAAATATGTAGGTTGAAATTTGGCATTTTCTTTAAAAATTGCTGGCCGGATGGGGATAGCACTGGGAAAACGAGTAGCGGTGTAAGTGTTAAGCGATTGATACACAAGGGAAAGAAATGCTTATTTATGAATTAAGCCGTTTTGGAATTTTACTAGAGCGATTGCTTTTGAAGAATTGGTTTGTCTTTTTAGAGAACTTGATTTTATTTAAAGTATAAGGCAAACATTTATTTTGCCATTGACACTCAGAATTTCGGTAGAATGCTATCAGAATAATCGGATTGTATTCTTTTAAATTGTAAGTGTCTTTTAACTCAGACAAAATATCGAACAATCTAGTATCATGCAAAACTGCTTACGTATGACATCTACCTGACTGGGATAATTTTTTGATCAAGGAGGAAATAGTTATCGATTGATTAGTAATCATTTTGTCATTTGAAGAGAAATATAAAAAAAATAATGATGTTTAGTAGACAATAGATTTTTTTTTTGTCTTTTGCTTTCAAGAATGAACTAATTTTCATTTTCGCACCCGATTTTATTGGTATTTCTGTCAGTTATTTTTCAGAAAAGTTTCAGCCGATATAATCGTTATCCTAAAAGTGAGATGAAGTAAAAAAAAAAGTCATTATTTTGTCTTTTACTCGTGACAAAATTATGAGTTTACTGAAACTGCTGCAACTAGACTGAACGAGGTTACTAAAACACTTGTAGAAGTAATATAACACACATAAAATACACTTATAAGGATTATATTAATTTACCGCTTGAGAATTGTATTATTGTAACATTATCAAACTTAAATTCATATGAAACTTTTAGTCATGGATGACAATAAATTATAATTACTATTTATCATATATTTTACGTTTAGTCTGTTTTTGTATATATTTATATAAATTAATTTCAGGAATGCATCTGTAGTGCCTACACATTTTGCTTTTTTATATATATATATATATATATATATATATATATATATATATATATATATATATATATATATGTGTGTGTGTGTGTGTGTGAGAGAGAGAAAGAGAGTGCGTGTGTGAAGATCGCGCTGAAGCATGAAACTGATTTCGTGTTGACCTCAGTGTCAACTTTTTTATATTTTTACGCTTTTATCTCTGATATTGAGCACTTTTAACCACAAATATGGCACGTCTTAAAACTATATCTTTATCATAATTATATATATATATATATATATATATATATATATATATATATATATATATATATATATATATATAGATAGATAGTTAAACCTAGTGAGCCAGACAAACCTACCCAGGTTTCACCTAAGCGGATCGTCTGGTATATATATATATATATATATATATATATATATATATATATATATATATATATATATATATATATATTTAAATGTGAAAAACAATAAAAGCTTAAATGTATTATTTATTCAGCTCATCTACAGTTCTTAAACGCATTCTTTTTTGTGTGACGAAGATTGTCTCTAATGATTATTGTCACAAATACTACAATCCTCTACATTCTTAGAACTTTGGGAAAAACTGAAAGAAGTCTTCTCCTCCACAATGAAATCTATATAACAAATTGCTGCCTAAGTATATATATATATATATATATATATATATATATATATATATATATATATATATATATATATATATATATGTGTGTGTGTGTATTTGCACGATTAAATGTTAAAGAATTTGCTTTGATGCCTACAGTTCTTTACTTACCAAAGCTGCTCCGACAAGAATTTTTTTTCTTTTGCACAATGCTGTTATTGCGACTGATTTCGCTTTATTTTTGTTGTTTCTTAAGTACTCTTCCGGATTAAATAAAATTATTCTATCTGTAAGTAGATTATTTGTGTATCACCTTGGTTCTTTTGGTGCATTTGTTGGCGCAAAGTGTGATAATGCTCTTCTGAATTCAAAGTATCAGGTTTGTAATCTGTTTTCAGTCTTTCATTTAACTTACGTTTTAGAAAACAAATGAAGACTATTTCATATCAAATAACAAAGGATAATGAATTTAAAACTGAGATTAAATGATAACAAAACATTTTAATTTACGAATTTGCAAAAGTATTCTACTAAAAATTGCATTCGGCTGATTTTACATGATAAGAAATGCATCTGTTACACTAAGACATATTCGTAATTTGATTAGTATATATATATATATATATATATATATATATATATATTGATATAGTAAGAACAGAGAGATTTACAATACAAAACAGCAGTGCATAATATTAGACTTATTTTCTATTTTAAAAATATGCTTCACTCGTCACACATTACCATGTTTCAAAACACAAACTAAAATTTTAAATTTAATTATAAAATTAAATTTAAATTTCATAGCTCCATACCATATATATATATATATGTATATATATAGTCTTAAGGTGTGCTAAATTTATGGGATAAAGTGCTCAATATCAGAGATAGAGAGTGTGTAAATATAAATGTGAACATTGAAGTCAACACTTAGAGGTGACAGTCAGTTTCATGCTAGACGCAATCGTCAGGCCACGAGTGCTGTTTATTTTCTCGGCTTTTTATATAAACGGGTCAGTGGTGCACTGTGGGTAGTCTGTTTTGGCGGTTATTTTACCGAGATAAATAGCTTTATCTTTCCAAACCAAAATAAAACTATGAAATAAGCGATATAAACAAATTTTTACTATGTTAATAAAACACCGATTAAAATAAAAATAAAAAAATAAATATATAAGATAAGAAATAAAAATAAAAATAAAAATAAATAAAGACAAGCAAAATAATTTAACCCAAATAAATAAATAAATAAACGACTTCCGGCAAAATAATCACCATGTATGTGTGAGAGTGTATTTATATAATAGGAAAGGACTGTTAGATTGATGACCGAAGTTATTTAGTATTTTTGTTTTTATTTAAAGAAACGAAACAGTGTTCGATACAAAAGTAGAGGCTAGATTATTATAATTTTTTTTAATATGATTCCATCATGACACAGAAATTACTATGTTTCTGGTCAGCAGTATTCAAGTTTTTTTCAATATTAAACCTTAACTATTGGGTAACAATCCTCAAGCGATATTTGGAATAGCTAAGCAACGGAATGTTTTACTCATTTATAGTTCTTTTGAAATGATGGCGTGATCTATGGTTTATTTCTCATCATCAAGGTGTCTCTCTTTGATGGAAGTAGGGGTGTTTGTTTTGTTTGTCAAGTTTTTGGAGACGTGTAAGTTTGTGTTGTTTTTTTTTCGTCTGGCTACAATGGCTAATCTTATCAAGCTCCCTGCTAAAACTCTAACTGATTGATGTTGTAGTAGATTTGTTGTTTTTTATTTATTACTGTCTGCTAAAACTCTAAATGATTGATATTGAAGTTTCGGTCCTTTTTGATGTTTTCTTGTTTTGTTTTGTTTTTTGTTCATGATTTCTTAAAGGGGCGTTATGATGATGGTTGGGCTGTTTTTTTAAACACATTTTTTTATTGAATTTGTTAATAGATTTTATATGGTATTTTGTAATTTTTATATGGTATTGTGGAAATTATCATTATTATTATTTGTCCATTTATGAAATGATAATTATTTAAAGCGAATATATGGTGGTGTCTGCAAAAAAACCGTTATCTCATTTCTTTGATTTAATAAATTTTCGTATTTTAGAAACTTAATAATGTGTAGTTTTTCATGTAGGCATAAAGGACATGGAACATCAAAGGTTTTAATCAATTTGAAAGACGGTGTATTTATATATATATATATATATATATATATATATATATATATATATATATATATATATATATATATATATATATATATATATATATATATATAGATAGATAGATAGATAGATAGATAGATAGATAGATTATGAAGAATTTAGTAATCCGTATGGGTAATCCCAAGGAGGATTAAATCCTTGAGAGCTCAATGTAAATCCAGAGCTAATATTTAAAAAAAAAAACAGACCACTTTAAGGTACCATTATAATAATTTATTTCACCAGAGTCCTTTTAAAGTCTGTTTTTTTTTTTTTTTATATATATATATATATATATATATATATATATATATATATATATATATATATATACTTAGGGATTGCTGAGTTTGTATGACACATTATATTATTATTTTTTTTGATTTTGTGATATAGCTGGCATATGGTGTAATTGAGGCACATGATAAGAAATTGTAGAAACGATTTCGAATTCGAGCCGAGTTAGTTTAATCAAATGAAATATTAATTCGAAAAAAGATTTATTCTTACATTCCAAGAAGTGTTTTGGCTTCATATAACCCACAAAGTATTGATAAGCCATAAAAACATCAATGAAATAATTTAAGATGTAATAATGTCATTAGTTTAATTATTTACATGATCTTTATCCGCTTATATTTGTTACGGTTATTGAAAGATAAAATGCATGTTAGGAATAATTATTTAACCTAATGTCAATGACCGTCCTCATGTTGCAAGTTCGGCGCAGCAAACAACGCTGACGTTATAACACGTACGTCATATTCTTAATCCTGTTCTATTAGAATCATTACACATTTTATTCCAGAAAATATATATTTTCAGTAGTATTAAAAACTGTGGAGAAATTTTGTATATATATATATATATATATATATATATATATATATATATATATATATATATATATATATAATTGATACTGAGTTCAATATCAAACAGTTTATTTCATGTTCCAATGCAATC